TGGGAAGGAAGAAACATGCTGGGCCGAAGATCCGAATGAGCAAATAATGGGACGCACAAGGACACACTAGTACTATATGTCCTCCTTGGAGGCGTGCGCCCGACCCGAACATATAGCATACGCACATTATAGTCTATCGCTTTCCGAGCGGTATGGCCCGAAAGCGTCCGCCGTGGAGCTTATACCAGAAGATTTCTGGCGCGCGCGTCGCCCATGGGGGGGCGACGCGCGTACAGTATTAGCATGTTGGGGTAGCGCCGAAAGCACAAAGAGAACCCGCGAATTGAGTGATCTGGTCTGTCTCGGCCCTCTCTTGGCTCACGTTGGTCTCTTCGGCCGTGCTGAAAAAGCTTCTCGCCATCGCTGGGACGTCCATTCCCCGTGCATGCTTCGGCCTCGTGGTTTCAAGTTTTCCGCAAGATGATCCAAGATGCTCCTCGATGGTCGTCCACCCCGAGAAAAAAACGCACACGTCCAAGCGATGCCAAGGCTTGGTATAAGCCTATGGGGCCAACCTGACCGCCTCAACAAGCCTCCACGGGCACACTGGAGCCGCCCCGGAGCCCTCTGAGCCCTCTTCTGGAGCCCTCTTAAGTGTGAGCTTGAGACTCAAGCTCACAGCGGGCAGCTTGCTGTGCTCTTGCTGCGCCGTCGTCCGTGGCTGCTGCTGACGCTTGGTGCTGCCTGCTGCGTGCGCACCGCTGGTTGCTGGCCTCTCCTCGCGCCCCTTCGAGCCGGCCTGCTGTTAGGGGTCCCCTTGGGCAGCCCCTCGAGGAGCAAAACCGACCATGAGCATAAACTTTTGGAGGTCCGCAAGGATTCGTTGGATCCGTGCTGGACCCTGCTCCTTGGCGCGCGGAGCGCGCCAGGGGCGGCGCCAGAGGCGCCGCCAGGGGGCCCAGCGCCGATCCAAGAAATCCGCGCGGACCATCGAGAAATTAGGTTTGTGCTCAAGTCGGGCGTGTCCCTCTACAGGAGGAATATTCAAAAATAGCCAGAAAATGCTCTGGGGACGATTCTTTCCTTTAATTTTGGAGCATTCTTGGAAGGGTTTCTCTGGACTATGTTTTGCACGTTTCGTCCACAATCCGCCTGTAGGAGGACATGCCCGACCTGAGTTTATGCCCTTTTTGTTTTCCGCGTGGGGCCCCAGTCGGGCAGTTTCGGAGCATGGACCGCCCAGGGGCCACTCGGGCCGTCGCGAGCTGCCTTCGGCAAGCGCTCGCGGCCGCCACTGCCCAGGCTCCCCGGCGCACGCTGCACCGCCCTCGGGGCAGAAGTGCTCGGCCCGGGCCCCTCTCGGGCCGGCGGCCTTGAAGGGGGAACGTCAGTCGGCGTTGGTCCAAAGCTGCCTTTAGTTCACCACCCTTTCGTGAAGACGGCCTAAGGCCGAAACCGACGGACCTGGACCCGCAAGAATGATGGCCGCGGCGCCCTCTCGCGAACCGAAAACGGCCAATTCGCTAATCGACGTGTCAGGGTAGGAGGCTTGTCAACCTCCGAGTCAGGGGGGGGGGCGGCTCAAGGGACAAAAATGTCGGGCTGGGGTCGGCGATACGCCGCGGATAAGACGGCGATCGGCCCCCGATAGCGGAGCCGCACGTTCCTGGGCGGGGTGGGCTATCGGGCACCTGTCGGCGAGGAGTGTGCGATTGGGGGTCGATGCTCCCCCCCTGAGCGCATCCCCCTCATCATTATTACTCGGCTCTCTGGGGAGGCCGTTCTGGACGCTCCTGGCACCCACGGAACGCTCTCGTCGAGGCGCAGCTGCCAAAAAGCAGAGCACCGACGAAAACGCCTGAAAGCCTCTCGAACGTCGAACACCTCGAGCCTATCCCCCCTTGAGCTGAGCCCCCCAACGTTGCCCCTGAGCGTTGTCCCCAACCCCCCTCTTTTCCTGTCGGAGGAGCGCGAGGGCGCCCCTCGGGAGGAAGGCAGCGATCCGGCGACGCTACACTGGCAGCTGTGCAGGCCAGGCGGGAGGCCGGGCCGCTCCTGTGTGTCGAGCTGTGGGCGAGCCCGCCCCGAAACCGGGAGCGAAGCCCAGACAGCCAGCGGCCCGTGCAACTCGAGACGGTCGGCTTTCGTTTGTTCTCCGTGTCTGGCCTCTGGGAAGGCCAGTGCCGAGACACGGGGCCGTCAAGAGAAACGACTCGGGACGAAAGGCAGACCTGGGGGAAGGGGTCGTCCCTCTGTGCTCCTCCTCCTTCTCTTTCTCCTCCTCCTCCTCCTCCCTCCTCCTCCTCCCTCCTCCTCCTCCTCCTCCTCCTCCTCCTCCTCCTCCTCCTCCTCCTCCTCCTCCTCCTCCTCCCCGTATCTGCCGTTATCCTGTCGCCGGTCAGCCGCACAATGACGGAACAGGGCCCGCCAAAGGGGGACTCTTGGTGAAGCAGGACTTGGGCGCGTCCGAGAAAAAGATATACTGCAGCTGTGCGTCGAAACATGCTCCATGCTTCGGTCCCTCGGGGCGGAGCTCTCAGAGCGTCCTGGTCAGTGCCCTGGCTTCGGGACCCCGGGCCTCGACAAACGGCGCGGCGCGAGGCGCTGGACGTCTGGGCCCACAGCGGCGGCAGAGCTCAACGAGGCGCGCGAGCTGCGGCCCCGAGGTGTCGGGCACTTCGCTGAAGGGCCAGAAAACTGCAGAGGCAGATAACTGTTCGGAGCTCCGCGTGGACTTCTTGGATCGTTGCTGGGACGTCCCTCCCTGGCGCGCTCCGCGCGCCATGGGGGCAGCGCCAGAGGCGGCGCCACGAAGGGCCAGCGCCGATCCGAGAGATCCACGCGGAGCTCCAAATCCAAACATCTGGCATCTCCATTTATTCGAGACGCGGGCTCGGGGGCGGCCAAGAGGGGGGCGTCCAAGAGGGAGGGCGCACATCATGGGCGGCGGCATGTGCGCGGCCCAGGGTGGGGGGGCCAGGGACGTACTGAGGTAAGAAGCGGCGCCATCAAACCTGGGGAGATCTCATGGCCCCCGCCATGGTATCCCCCCCCCCCAAGTCATCACCCCCCTCTTGGCCGCCCCCGAGAGACGCGTGCCTCCGACCTCTCGACCACTGCCCTGGGCCCGGCTTTTCATCCCGGGCCGCTTCTGGGCGGTCCCGAGGCCCTGCGAGGGCCCCCGGAGGCCGAGACCGACGAGGAACCTCCGCCTCGACAATTTTTCGAGACGCTGGATGCCTGGGAAGGTCTACGCCGGTGCAGTTTTTTCCTCCCCGACCCCTCGTGAGCGCAGCGTGCGGGATGCGTCAGCGCACACACGCCCTGCCAAGCCAGCCTCGAGCTCACCCCGATACCTAAAACCGACAAGCTCAAAAGCGATGGCAATCTCAGGGATGCACCGTTAGAAACCGACTGGCATCGAAGCGAGGCGATGCTAATCATAGGGATAGGGGTGTGCCTCAGGCTGGAAACTGCCGCGGTCAGCGCGGGGGACCGCACACGCACACGCGCGCGCTCGCAAAAAGAAAAAAACGAAAGAATACAAGCATGGGTGTCGGCGGCGAGCGAGGGGGGGGTGTGTGAGAAGGAGAAGGCCTTCTCAGAAGGCGGCGGGGAGGGCTCCAGAACACTTCTCAGAAGACCGGGGGGCTTCCGGGCCTTCCGAGAAGGCCCGCCCGCTCTCACGTCCCTCTCCCCCCCCCCCGCCTCGCGGCCGAACAAAAACGACTCAAGGAGGGCCTCGGGAGGAGCAGGGAGGACGCGGAGGCAGGGAGGGCATCGGGCGTCCAAGCCGCCCTGGCGGTTTTCTCGAATCTGCTTCTCTGGAAAAAGGAGAAGCACATACACAAAAAACTTTAGGGGGCCCAGCGCGGATCCAAGAAATCCGCGCGGAGCGCCAACAGTTTCTGTTTATGTGTTTTTTTCTTCTTCGATTCTCGGCCTCTGGAGACCAGCTCGGGGCCCCGGGGCCGCCGAGAAAAAAACGGCTGGCGAGGAGGAAGAGCTGGACCCGGGGCAGGAGGACGAGAGGTCGCGGGGGCCCGTGCCTCGAACATGAAAGCGGTCCTCCTCTTCCTCCTCCTCCTCCGCCTCCTCCTCCTCCTCCTCCTCCTCCTCCTCCTCCCTTCCTCCTCCTCCTCCTCCTCCTGCTCCTCCTCCTCCTCCTCCTCCTCCTCCTCCTCCTCCTGCTCCTCCTCCTCCTCCTCCTCCTCCTCCTCCTCCTCCTCCCTCCTCCCTCCTCCTCCCTCCTCCCTCCTCCCTCCTCCTCCCTCCTTCTCCCTCCTCCTCCTCCTCTCCTCCTCCTCCTCCTCCTCCTCCTCCTCCTCCTCCTCCCTCCCTCCTCCCTCTTCCCTCCTCCCTCCTCCCTCCTCCCTCCTCCCTCCTCCCTCCTCCCTCCTCCCTCCTCCCTCCTATCTCTTCCCTCCTCCTCCTCCTCCCTCCCTCCTCCTCCTCCTCCTCCTCCTCCTCCCTCCTCCTCCTCCTCCTCCTCCTCCCTCCTCCTGCGCCTCTCCTCCTCCTCCTCCTCCTCCTCCTCCTCCTCTCGTCCTCCGCCTCCGCCTCCCCTCCTCCTCCTCCTCCTCCTCCTCCTCCTCCTCCTCCTCTCCTCCTCCTCCTCCTCCTCCTCCTCCTCCTCCTCCTCCTCCTCCTCCCTCCTCCCCTCCTCCTCCCCCTCCCCCTCCCTCTCCTCCTTCTCCTCCTCCTCCTCCTCCTCCTCCTCCTCCTCCTCCTCCTCCCTCCTCCTCCTCCTCCTCCTCCTCGATCCTCGATCCTCGATCCTCCTCCTCCTCCCTCCTCCCTCCTCCCTCCTTACTCCTCCTCCTCCCTCCTCCGTCCTCTGGGGCGGCACGGCGGATGGGACTCCCAACCCTCTCAAGCGCATTCAGAGATAGGATGCAAGGGGGCAGCAGCGAAAAGGTGCAGCGACGTCACAGGAGTCGTCGCAATCATATCGTATCCATGGGTGCCGTCGCAGCCGCTTGGCTGGGCTGCGGTCCCACCACGATGGATAGAAGCGCACGGCGGCATACTTGAGAGCATGCCACACCAAATGTGACGACCTAGCTGCTGGGGTGCTGCTTTGCCGAATTACCCACCCGGGCCTGGAGGTTCCACATCAACTTTCTCGGAGGTCCGAACGGATTCCTCGAATCGGCGCTGGAGCCGCCCCCTGGCGGCGCCCCAGGCGCCACCCATGGTGCGCTCCGCGCGCCAGGGAGAGGGGCCAAGGCCGATGCGAGAAACTATTCACCAGCCAGGGCTTGCACTTAGGGGTTCGTGCTTCTCCTCTAGGGAACTGGGCTGGTGTGGCGGTCTGGCGGCTACGTTGTCGCCGTTGCCGCCCAGTCGCCGCCTCGTCGCCGCCCGTCATCTGGGCAGGTGTGGCGGTCTGGCGGCCATGCTGCCGCCGTTGCCGCCCCATCACCGCCTCGTCGCCGCCCGTCGTCTGGGCTGGTGTGGCGGTCTGGCTGCTGCGTCGTCGCCGCCGCCGCCCCGTCACCGCTTCGTGGCCGCCCGTCGTCCTGACTGGTGTGGCGGTCTGGCTGCTGTGGTGTCGCCGTCGCTGCGCCTCGTCGCCGCCCCGTCGCGGCCTCGCATCGATTGCACCGCATAGCTTGTATCGCATAGATTGCACCACACAATCTGTAACGACACATGTGGTACAACATAGAGGGCACAGCATAGATCGTAGGACATCGGTTCTCCCGTCTAAAAACAGAATAGGATCTACCCCCCCCGGCGTTATCACTCTTCCTTTCGGGTATGTAAATCATATATGATTCTGACCACATGTCCATCCTAAACATGAATTTACACTATCCCAGGAGGGGCCAGTATCCCCCCCTGAGGGTCCCTGGTTTAAACAAACCACAATGCGGTGACATTTTTGGTTCTAACATAGCACTTTTTCACGAATCCCTTGCAACAGATGGGACGAAGTGCACACGCGCGCGCCGTCGCGCGCGCATGGCGAAATCCTTCAAAAACCTCGGGTGCTGGAAGGATTTCGCAATCGAGTTCCCAAAAAACATACAAAAGCACAGGGTTTTGCACCACTGATTTGCTAAACAAGCTTACGCGCGAGCTCTTGCGAAATTTTAAGAAAACCATTGGTCTTTCAAGATTTTCACAACATGCTATCAAACGGGCTTCGCGCGCGCATGTCGAAATCTATCGAACGCCCTTGCGCGTGTGCCGTCGCGAAAATCCTCTGCAAAAAACTAAGTGCAGACGCGCGCGTCGTCGCGCGCGTATGCCGAAATCCTTCAAAACCCATCGGTTTTGGAAGGATTTCAAAATCGTGTGTCCAAACAACCTACAAAAACATAACGTTTCGTCGTTGTCATCATCATCGTCTTCCCTCCTCCCTGGTCGTTAGCATCATCAGCGTTGCCGTCCTTCCTCCTTCTTCGTCGTTCGCGTCGTCGCCGTCCTCCCTCCTCCCTCGTCGTTGTCGTCGTTGTCGTCGTTGTCGCCGTCGTCGTCCTCCCTCCTCCCTCGTCGTCTTCGTTGGCGACGTCGTCGTCGTCGTCGTCTTCATCGTCGTCGCCGGCGTCGGCGTCGTCGTCGTCGTCTTCGTCGTCGTCGATGTCGGCGTCGTCGTCGTCGCTGCCGTCGTCGTCGTCGTCGTCGTCGTCGTCGTCGTCGGCGTCGTTGAAGTCGTCGTCGTCGTCGGTGTCGTTGTTGTCGTCGTCGTCGGTGTTGTCATCGTCGTTGTCGTTGTCATCGTCGTCGTCGTCGTCTGCGTCGGTGTCGTCGTCGTCGTCGTCGTCGTCGTCGTCGGTGTCGTCGTCGTCGTTGTTATCGTTGTCGGCGTTGTCGAAGTCGTTGGAGACGTCGCTGGTGTCGTTGTAGTCGTTGTCGGCGGCGTCGTCGTCGTCGTTGTCGCTGTCGTGGTCGGCGTCGCTGTCGTTGCCAAGTGCCATGTGGTATCCACCGTCACGGTCTTAAGAGATTTTGCAAACCAAGTTGCGGGTGGGTGGGTGGGATGTTGGCGCGAGCAGTGGAGTGGACAACTCACTGCGAACAGAAATTAGTTGCACCACATAGATTGCACCGCTTATAATGCACAACAGAAGTTGCACTCCAGGTCGACTTTAACACATAGTTTGCCAGAAGCACACTGTTCGGGGTCCACGCTGGCTTACATGTTGAGGTCATTGCTTGTTCCTCGAAATACATATAAACTTTCGACGGTCCGCGCGGATTTCTTGCATCTGCGCTGGAACCCCCCTCCCTGGCGGCGCGCGGAGCGCGCCAGGAGCGGCGCCAGGGGCGCCGCCAAGGGGCCCCAGCGCAGATCCGAGAGATCCGCGCGGAGCTCCCAAAGTTTTGGCCTGTGTCGTTTCTTCGTCTTCGATGATCGGCCCGTCGGTGAGCCATCGTACTGACCTCCCGAAGCTGGCGCACCAGCTGGTCCAGTGCGGCCCGCCGACGATCGGGGCGAACAGCCCAGGGGCGGGCATTGCACGTATTCGCCCGGGAGCCTTCTCGAAGATATAAATCATCGGCGCACCTGAATACATGAATTTTAACGGGCGAAGAACGGTATAACATAAACTTTTTCGCTGTCGGGGGCGCCTGTCCCTGGGCGGCTGGAAAGTTTATACCCCTACGGTGGCACCGTAAGGGTATAAACTTTCCAGCCGCCCAGGGACAGGCGCCCCCGACAGCGAAAAAGTTTATTTTATACCGTTCTTCGCTCGCTGAGTATTGCTCTCCCCTGGGCTATTCGCCCCCCTCGTCGCCTCTGGTGATCCTCGATCCTCGACGTGGCCCTGATCGGAGATCAGGTCCGCATCCTCTGGGGCGCGGCGCGCCGCGGCCCCGACTCTCCTCTCACCCGCCTCCGTGCACGGCCGGCGGCTCGTGCCGGTGCTGCTTCTTCTCTGGAGGAAGAGAACACTATTCTTGGGTCGGGCTTGTCCCCCTACAGGGGGGTGTTGGGCGACAAATACAAAAGATACCGCAAACATGCTCAAGCATATTCCAAACAGTAGCAGAAAAATCGTGCCCAGACTATTTTTTGACTGTTTCTGAGTATTCCCCCTGTAGAGGGACATGCCCGACTTAGCACTATTCGGCGGCGAGCCCAGTGGGGAAGTGAGAAGGGGCGGGCCTTCTCAGAGGGCTCGGAAGTCCCCTGCCCTTCTGAGGAGGCCTTCTCCTTCTCACTTCCCCCTCTCGCTCGCCGCCAGTTTGTGCAGCTTTCTCTTCCTCGATTCGCCCGCTGCCTGTCCCGCCGCAGCCCGCCCGCGTGCTTCCCCTCGTGCGCGGGCCCCATGGGATCCCCTCCGCCGCGCGGGGCGCCGCCCGCAGACGTGGGGCCGCCCTCGGCTGCGGAGGGCCAGCTGCCGCGCGCGACGGCCGCGGCGGCCTGGCCCGCCCCCTGCGCCAGGGGCTCCGCTGGGAACAGCTTGCTGGCCCCTGCGACGAGCGCGTGCAGGAGCTTGTCCACGCCCCCAAGAGGGGCGTGCCAGGTGCCGCCTCCGACCTCCGAGCTCTTGGGGGGGGCATCCAGGAAGCCCGCCTCCAGGTCCTGGTCCTGAGCCAGCTCGAGGTCTGGTGCGGAGACCGTGCGCCGGATGCTGATCTGCTCGCTGCTGGTGCCGGCAACCTCCTCCACAACGACGAACGAGCGCTTCACGAACGCGCGGTGGCCTCCATGGGGGAAGTCGAGCGTCCCGACAGCCATAGCGCCCTGCGCCGCCTCGCAGCTACGCGAGACGAAGACGGTGTGACGATCTGGGTGCTGTATGCTGAGGTTGACCCACTCGCGCGCACTTGAGGTGCAGGTGCCGGCGGCGGTGTCCAGTGTGGTATGGTGCACGCTGCTGACGGGAACCAGGACGGTCTTGAGCACCATGATGCTGTCTGCCTCTGCCTGCACCTCGCTGGCAGGGATGTACCTGCCAGGCGTGCGGCCGTGGTCTGAGGTGGAGAAGCACTCCACGGGGTGGTTGGGGGTCATCTCCAGCTTCGTGCCGTCTTTCAGGACCACTGTCATCCAATCGGTGCACTCGGAACCTGGCGCCAGGCTCACGTCCAGGACGTCCGTGTACTTCATCCCCCTCTGAAGGTTGTCGTAGCACAGCACGCGCTGGCCCGGCCTCACGGTGCTCAGACGCTGCGGTAGCGCCTCGTTCTCGATCCAGACGGAGGCGCTGGAGGGGAGGCAGTCCCCAGAGTCGCAGATGTCCTGGTCGCCGCCACGCCTCTTGCGCGACAACCTCTTCTGCACCCCGGCCGGGGCGCTGTGGATCGACGCGGGCACGCGAGGCGATCGCCCAACGACCGAGCATGCGTCGGCGGCGCGGGGAGCCTCGCTGTTCATCTTGTCCATGAGGCCGGAGGCCTCGTACTCGGCGGTGCAGCGCTTGACCTTCTCTCGGATAATCTCGTCCTTCCCGGACTCCAGTGCCAGGCAGAGGGGTCGCTGGGCCTGCTCCAGGGTCCTCTTGGCGAACAGGCCGAGCAGCATGGTCCCCCACATCAAGACTGTCTCTATGTACATATCCTCCGTGTCCTGCGTGGGGTTGATGCCCTTCGCCTCGTAGGAGTCGTAGCGAGACCGGAAACAGATGACGACAACCGTCGAGTACACGATCATGCACGCTGGCATCACTTTCGCCGCCCACCTGAAGGGCATCACCATCAGACTCATGTAGAGGCAATGGAACTGGAAGACGATGTTCGACTTGTACGGGTGCGGTAGCGAGGTCGACTTCATGGCGGGTAGCCCGCCGAATTGCTCGAAGAAGCGGCCCGTGCCCAGGTGAGCCTCGACCTCGACCTCCACGACAGGGTCCGCGATGGCGAACAGCACGGCGTCGGCAAGCAGGGCGAAGGCCAACGACCACCTGTACAGCCAGGACTCCACGCCCCCCTGGCTCACCTTGACCAGCGCCACGCCGCAGTGCAGCGTCAGCATCACCGAGTCGGCGAGCAGCGGCACGTAGTTGAGGGTGCTGCCCTGGGCGGCCGCCAGGTAGAACCCGAGGTACAGCACCTGCACCCCGATGTAGGCTAGCAGGAACTTGAGCGCGTTTCTTTATTTTCGGCGATGATGGGCATTAAAGGGGGGGGAGGGGCCAGGGGGGGTATGATGTGACGCTTCCCCCCCCGCCGTGCGCACGGCAGCAGTGCCCGGAGTGCACCTGGGGGTTGGGGGGAGGGGCGTTGCGTTATAGGGGGGCGGGGGAGGGGGGACCGCCGAGGGCTATAATGCCCATTTTGCCCCAAGCAATGAATTGAGGGATGCAAAAGTGCCCTTACCCTGGGTTACAAGTACGTGGTCCGCAAACCCCCTGGGAGCTCCCAAGGAGGCCAGAGAGCCCAGGACGCCGCGCGACACGCGCGCTGTGCAGGGCCACCCTGGCAGCCCACGGGAGCTTCAGCGCACAGCGCCTCGCAAACCAGGGCAGGTGGGCGTTTCCAACGCCCCTGCGTGCAGAAGCCCGCGCTCCTTCAGGCTCCGCTTGCTGGCGTCGTCCTGGAAGCGCCGCTCCGCGGCGCGGCGGAGCAGGCGGGGGTCCCGGCGGCCGGGCTCTGGCGCCTGCTCCTCCTCCTCCTCCTCCTCCTTTTCCTCCTCCTCCTCCTCCTCCTCCTCCTCCTCCTCCTCCTCCTCCTCCTCCTCCTCCCCCTCCTCCTCCTGCCCCCCCCTCCCTCCCTTCTCCTGCCCCCTTCTCCTGCCCCCTTCTCCTGCGGCGCCTCGGGCACGGCCCGCCCCGGGGGGCCGCCGTCGGGGGCGCCGGCGCGGAGCCGGCGCAGGCCGGGCAGGCACATCATGCGGGGGCCGCCGCCGCGCCCACGGCAGAGAGAGAGAGAGAGGCAAGAAAAAAAGCCTGAGCCAAGACGGCTGTGCGGAGAGGGAGAGGGAGAGGGAGAGAGAGAGAGAGGAACGTCCCTCCTCCTCCTCTTTCTCCTTCTCCTCCTCCTCCTCCTCCTCCTCTCCTCCTCCTCCTCCTCCTCCTCCTCCTCCTCCTCCTCCTCCTCCTCCTCCTCCTCCTCCTCCTCCTCCCTCCTCCTCCTCCTTCTCCTCCTTCTCCTCCTCCTCCTCCTCCTCCTCCTCCCTTCTCCTCCTCCTCCTCCTCCTCCTCCTCCTCCTCCTCCTCCTCCTCCTGGGCTCGAAACGGCCTGGGCTCGACAGGCCCGTGCAAACGTGTCCCAGACTCTGGGAAGCCCGCACTCGAGCTCGAGATGAGAGCCAAACCACGGCCCGCCGGCGAGCCTGGGCAGAACTCAGCACCTGGCCCGAATCCGAGTTCAAGACCAATGAAAAAACGGTTCGAATACGAGTGAGCTCCAACTGCGGCCCCAGTCGTCGCCATCGCCGTCGCCGTCGCCGTCGCCGTCGTCGTCCTCCTCCTCCTCCTCCTCCTCCTCCTTCAGGGTCGGCGCAAGGCCGTAAGGCCTTCGCAATACGACTGAGCTCCACCTGCGGCCCCAGTGAGCATCACGTCCACGTGCCATCCACACCAGAACCTCCGCCTCCTCTTCCTCCTGAGCCTTCCTGCGCCTTCTCTCTGCCGATGCTGTTCTCCAGCTGGAGCGCGGGTGGAAGACGAGGAGGAGGAGGAGGAGGACGACGACGACGATACTGGAGGAGGAGGACGAGGACAAGGAGGAGGACAAGGAGGACGAGGAGGGGGAGGACGATGGCACTGGAAGAATGGAGGAGGCGGCGCGAAGCTCGACAGGCAACGGAGCAGATTGGCCAAATCAGAAGATTCGAAAAACTCAGGCACCTCGAGTGTGCTGCAAGCAGGATTACTCCGTGGGGGGGTGGGGCACGCGCCATTGTCGCACCCAGACCGCCTAAACCTCAGAGGCTGGCCGAGTCAGTGCTCGCGCACAAAACCCAGGTGGGCTGCCAATGGAGCAAGTGGACCTTCAAAACCGAACTGGCAGAAACTCGGGAGGCCCGCGCAACCCGTGCATCCCAAATGGTGCAACTACGCATTATGTGGAAAGCCCCGCGCAACAGCTTCAGATGGGAAGCAAGGCCCATACTTGATCTTAGTATGTTCGGGAGCGGTCAAGAGGGGGGCGTCCAAGAAGGGGGGGGTGTAAATCATGGCCAGCGGCATGTGCGCGGCCCAGGGGTGGGGGGCCAGGGACGTAATAACATAAGAAGAGGCGCCATGAAATCTGGGCAAGTATCATGGCCCACGCCATGATATGCCCCCCCCTAATCGTCACCCACCTCTTTGCCTCCCCCAGTATGAAGAGCAAGAGCCAGTGCAATGACCGCCCTCGAGTTTCACATGGAAACCAACAGTGACGCGAGGGCATTCCGCCTGTGGCCCCCTATTCAGGACGCCCCGCGTACCGTTCAAGCATAACCCTACGCGTCATGTTTCTCCCTGTCCATCTTGCTGATTTCCTACGTCGGCTCGATGGGTCATACTTCTAAGGTTTCCTTGTTTGGCAGTCGCGAGATTAGCCACGTGGGGGTTGTGTTCCCTTGCTCTTGGTCTTGGACGCCTCTTACAGTCGCTCTCGCAACTCAGGGTTGGTAATCATCTCGCGTGAGCTTTTTTTGGGGAAGGTTGGGGAAAGATGTGTGAGGGGTCCTGGTGTGACATGTGACGGCCTCGTAGCCTAATCCGATCGCCGTGTTGAAGCAACTAAATCAATCGTGTTTTGCCCGGGCCCAAGAAAACCTGGACTGTCGCGTGATTACTGTGCAGGTCGCCAAGGAAGGTCTTCTTATGACCTTGCTTGTTTGGCTGAACATCGCTCTCTCATCTCTCTCTCTCTCTGTCTTCTGGTCCCGTTTCATCCTCTATCTCGTTTCGTTCGTTTCATCCTCTCTCTCTCTCTGTCGCACACGACACATTACATGTGTTAGGAGGGACCCTCGCAGAGAAGCGGCGGGGTGCTCGTCACGTGTCACGGTCTCGTGGCCGAGGGGGCATCTCTGCCACATGCGGCGGCTTCCCGGGCAAGGAGACACGCGCCGCGGCCCGCGCGCGACTGCCAGCCCAGACGGCGCTCTCCGGGATGCTGTCCCAGCACCCGCAGCTGGCTGCACTGGCGGACCAGTGGCCAGGCGCACTGGTCGCTGCCGCGCCCAGCCCTCCCAGCCCCAGCCGCGAGCCCAACCCGGGGCGCGCGCTTGGACGGACGGCGGCTGCTCGCACCCCACTGGCCCCCCCCTCGCTGGGACAGGGTGGAGGGTGGTGCTTGACCAGGGCGCAGGCCGCCAAGAGCATCACGGGCCTGCTTGCGGCGCTCAAGCCGCGCAGCGCGCCGATCTCACAGCAGCGGTGCGTGCTGTCAGCTTGCCTGGCGGGACCGTCGAGGTATTGACCAATGCTCGTTTCGTCAGCAATGGCGTCGCGGCGATCAGGGCGGGGACGTCCCCCCGAGAACTGGGCCCACGCAGACCTGTGAGACTTGATCGTTCCTCACTGCCGCAGCGCGCGCTGGCCGAGCGATGGGTCAAGGGGCACCTCGACGCCGCGGAGGCTCACGACCGCGGCGTGTCGCCCGAGGACCGCTCAGGCAACGCCGCGGCTGATCGCCTCGCGGGGGCGGCAGGCGCGGCTCCGCTGCCCCCGCCGGCGCTGCGCACGGAGCGCGGGCGGCAGCTCGAGGCCTCCAAGGCCGTGCAGGCGTGTGCTCGCCTCGGTGGAGCTCGAGGCCCTCGAAGCAAGCCACGGGCACGGCCCGGGAGGCCCTCGCGCAGCGAGGCGGCGCTGCACGCAGGCGGGGCGCCGCCGCCGCCGCGCGCGCCGGGGTGACAGACGACACTGCGGCGGCGGCGGCGGCGGCGGCGCCCGCGCAGCGGAGCGCCGCGCGTCCCGCCCGTGCAGCGGAGGGGCGCCGCGCCCGCCTCCGCGGGGGGCCAGCCTGCGGGTCTTGAGCGCTCCGCGCGCCAGGGGGCCGCGGGGCGGCGTGGCGGGCGGCAGAGCTGCGGCGCCTGCTGGAGCGCCCGGGCACGCCGCCGAATGACTTAATGAATTGTTGAATGGAATACAGTCGGGGCGTTGACCGAAGGAACCCTAAATAAGGAACTGGGCCCCTTTTTTCCATAAGTTAACCTTCGATTTCCTGACGAAAACATAGGAAAACCTGAGGCAAGCTGTGAAACACTTAAGGAACACCGAGCCCCTCCCCAACGAAAAGGGTTCCTTCTTCAGCGCCCCGACTGTAGTTCGTCGATTCTTCGTTGCCCGACGGCTACTCTGGGCTGCCGCTGTCCCGCGTGCTCGCCGGGCGCGCTGCTGGCCTTTTTTTTCTCCTCCTCCTCCTCCTCCTCCTCCTCCTCCTCCTCCTCCTCCTCCTCCTCCTCCTCCTCCTCCTCCTCCTCTTGGCTGCGAGCGAGGGGGGAAATGAGAAGGAGGAGGCCTTCCCAGAGGGAAGCGGGACTTTTCAGAAGCCCTCGCGCCTTCTGAGAAATGTTCGGTGTCTTCGGGGAAGGCTTAGAACACTTCTCAGAAGGCCGGGGGATTTTCGAGCCTTCTGAGAAGGCCCGCCCCTTCTCACTTCACCCCCTCGCTCGCCGCCGATCTTCCTCCTCCTCCTCCTCCTCCTGCGGCTCCTTCGGCTCCTCCGCGCTCCGTGTGTGTATCCGTTCTCGCCGCTGGGCCCCCTTTGGGTGGTTGAGAACTGTCCACCCGCGAGCAAGCTCCATGGCGTACACCACGGCACAGCACGAGCGGCGACTGCCGCGCATGCCGTGCAGCGGCTCCTCCGCCACGGAGGCAACCTGGGGGGGGGGGCCGAGCCAGTACAAGAACAGCAGCGGCCGCCCTCGGGGTCTGCACGTCCACGCCCTGGTCGGAATGCAGAGAAGAGACGCCGCGAGGCGCGATCTTCCTCCTCTTTCTCTTTCTCTTTCTCTTTCTCTTTCTGCTCCTCCTCCTCCTCCTCCTCCTCCTCCTCCTCCTCCTCCTGGACAACGGCGCCCGCCTGCCTCTGGGCCTGGCTCCAGGCTCCGCCGCCGCGGCCCGCGCGGAGCGCCGCACGCCGCGCCGCCGCGGGCGCCCCATCGTGAGGCAGCTGGCGGTCATGCAGCGCGGAGCTGCGCACCGGCAGGCGTCGGCGGGGTCGACGAGGACAGGGGCGAGCAGCCCATGGGGCGGGCACTGCACGCATTCGCACACGGAGCCTCGCCGAAGACATGGCTCATCGGCGCGCCTGGATACCTGCATCTAGTCGCCCCTGTCGTCGCCTCTGAAGGCGTGCCGCGGGTGCCGCCGCGCCCTGAACGCCGGCGACGAGGGCGGGCAGCGCCAGCCGCTCCGGTCTGTCGACGTCGTCCGCGAGGGGGGCAAGGCGTGCAGCGGCGCCCTGCTCCAAGTGGAGGCATCGGCATCGACACGGTGCCCGTTCGCACGCATCGCGGCCGCGCCGCCTGGCGTGCCGTCGAGCAGCCCCACCCCCCACGCACAGCCATCGCCACGTACCATGAGCTAGCTAGCCTGGCCAACCGCTCGAGCACAGTGACACTGAGAATGAAGGGGACTTGAGGATGGGGAGGAGGAGGAGGAGGCGGAGGAGGAGGAGGAGGAGGAGGAGGAGGAGGAGGAGGAGGAGGAAAAATGGGCTGGACGATGCGGGGGAGGAAGACGAGGATGGAGAAGAGGAGGCTGACGATGAGGAAGAGTAGGAGAGAGTGGAGGGGGTGCCATCAGCTCCCACTCGGGTGGGATCCGCGCCACGGCCTTGTCGGTCTTGAAACCCTGGAGCTCGAACTCCAGGGCCTGGTCCTGTGGTATCGGGTCCCAATATCGATTCCCCCCCCTCCAATTTCTCCCTTTTAAAAAAGCCAATCGGGATCGGCCACACACCTACCCCCCTTGGAAAATCCACTGCATCGACGACCTCTCGAGAGAGGTGTCGAAGCTGCTTGGCCCCCCTTATGAGGGCAAGGACCACACCTTCTGTACAGTTGGGGCGTTAACCCAAGGAACCCTAAATAAGGAACGAGGCCCCTTTTTCCCATAAGTTAAGCTCCGATTTTCCCTGGAGAACCCCAGGAAAACCCAAGGAGCACTGCAAAACAGCAGAGGAACACGGAGCCCCTCCCCAACGAAAAGGGTTCCTTCCTCAACGCCCCGACTGTGCCTGCTGCTCGTCTGGAGAGGAGGCCCTCTCCCCCGCTCCCTGCCTTCCGGCGAGGGCGGGACAGGAGCACGTCGGGAGCGGGAGCACTCGGGGACCCTCCTGGGAGCCAGCGGGCTCGGAGTGCCGAGCGCCGCGGCCGCTCCGGGGCGCTCCGAGAGGAGGCCTCAAGCACGAGCCCTCCGTACAGTCGGGGCGTTGACCGAAGGAACCCCAAATAAGGAACGAGGCCCCTTTTTTTCCATACGTTAACCTTCGATTTCCCATCGGAAACATAAGGAAGCCCTGAGGCAGGCTGCGAAACAATCAAGGAGCACGGAGCCCCTCCCCAACGAAAAAGGTTCCTTCCTCAGCGCCCCGACTGTACCACGTGGCTGCCTCTGGCACCCCCAACCCTCTCCTCTTTTTCGGCAACCGCTGACGCGGTGCCCGCTCGAGCCCCTCACTTCTTCTGGCTGCCGTGCGGCTTCCGCTCGATCTTGCCCCAATCGGGCTGGCCGCACGTGCCATCCAGACGAGCCGCCATGCACTTCTGCAGGTTGCTCTCCAGGAGGTCGACCTTATCTGCGTCGTCCATGTTCGAGAACCACACCTCGATGCGCACTGCAGGATTGCGGCTCTTCAGCACGATCTTGTCCACCAGGCGGACCCCGGTGATCATCTCGGCAGGCTCGATGGACCCGCCGACCAGCCCGAGCACAATGTTGTTCCACTTCTCGTCTACTGGGCCTCCGCCGAGCGAAGCAGGCAACTGGAATTGGAAATGCCCGCCACTGGCGTTGACCGGATCTTCCCACTCGGGCTTGATGCCTTCGCGGAAGACCATCAAGGCGTCGACGATGCTGCGCGAGCCGTCTACTTCCCGCACAAACTTCTTCCCGTCGAGGAGCTCGCTGGGCTGCGGCAGGTGGTTCCAATACTTCCAGAAACCCTTCACCGTGGAGAAGGACGCGACGCGGTGCGTGGCATCGGAATACTCCTTGGGCTGCTTCTCGCCGGGGTTCTGCGCGACCTGCTCCCAGATGGTCCAGGTGTACCTCAGGGGCGGGTCCTTGCTCTTCATCTCCTCGAGCTCTGACGCGCTGGGCTGCTGGAAGGAGCCGATGTCGGGCGAGATCTTGCTGTTGAAGCTCAGGAACTCGGGAGCCCTCGCCTCGGCCATGGTGCGCCGGGCGCGCCCGCTGGGGCGGTGCTCCCGCGCTGGTCCGAAGCGGCCTCGCTCTCGCGCGGCGTGGGCGGAGGCCCTCGTGCCCCGAGCCGAAACGACTACGGGGGGCCGAGCAGGACGAGGCGGCAGCCCGGAGGAGCAAGGACGGGGACGAGGTGGTGGGAGCGGGAGGGAGGGAGGACGAGGGAGAGGGGGTGGCAGGGGGAGGAGGAGTGGAGAAGGAGTAAAGCACGGAGAGTGTGAGAGAGAGAGGAGGAGGAGGAGGAGGAGGAGGAGGAGGAGGCTGAGGAGGAGGAGGAGGAGGAGGAGGAGGGAGACGGGGTGCGGAGGGGGAATCGGGATATGGGGCAGGACGATGAAAGACGCGAGGACGCAGCTCAGCACTCGGCCCAAGAGAGTCGGCCGCCAGAGGGCGGGGCCCCTGCCGGCAGCGGGCCATGGCCGAGCCTGGGACTTCTATCCGGCCTTGGCTTCTTGGGCCCCAAGGAGGCCCCAAGACGCCCCCAGAGGGCTCCAAAGGAACCTCCAGGAGATGAACAGCAGGGATTTTCCGCAGGCGTGCCCCCCCCCTGTGCAGCCTGGGACGGTCTGGGCGCCCCAAGCCACAAGGCGCGGAACGGCCTATACGGGAGTCGCCCAAAACGGTGCGGTGCAGGACCGTGCGGTGACTTCGAAATCCCACGAGGACCTCACCGCACGGTCCGTCGCCCACACGGCCTTGGGGCCCTGGCAGCCCGTCGCCCGAGGCCTCCTCGGAACACGGCCCGAGTCCCAAAACCGTGCGGCCACCCCAGATCCACACGGACTCGGCACACGGTGTGGTCACCGCACCGCTTGGGACCTTCGAGCCGGGGTCGGACCCAGCGCCCCAACCGCGGAGCGCCCTAGAATTAGATCGGGCATGTCCCCCTACAGGCGGATTTTGGACGACAAATAAACCACAGTTAGACCATATTCAAACATGATTAAACATAAACAAATAATCGCCCCCATATTATTTTGTCTGGACTCTGTTTGAATATTCCTCCTGTAGAGGGACAGGCCCGACTTAACCCTAGGAGGGAGCCGCCCATTGGCGGCGCCAGGGGTGCGGGGGCCGCCCCTGGCTGCCCTGGAGGCCTGCTGTGGTGCACGCCTGAGCAAAGAGGCCTCCAGGGACCAGGGGACGTCTTGATCACATGTCATAGTGACGCGCAAATTAGACGCTGACTTGCAGCGCCAGTGTGGCGGGGTTCGCTCCCGGGCACAGCGAAGCCCTACGCGCCGCCGCGCTGGTCCCGGGCAGGCTGTGCTGCCGGAGGCCTCCAGGGACGTCCGCAGACGTCTGCAGAGAAAGGACCACACGACAGGAGAAGGAGGAGGAGGAGGAGGAGGAGGAGGAGGAGGAGGAGGAGGAGGAGGAGGAGGAGGAGGAGCAGGAGGAGGAGGAGGAGGAGGAGGAGGAGGAGGAGGAGGAGGAGGAGGAGGAGGAGATGGAGGAGGAGAAGGAGGAGGGGAGGAGGAGCAGGAGGAGGAGGGGAGGAGGAGGAGCGGAGGAGCAGAAGGAGAATGAGGAGGAGGAGGAGGAGGAGGAGCAGGAGGAGGAGGAGGAGGGGAGGAGGGGGAGAGGGAGGGGAGAGGAAGGAGGGACAAGGAGGAGGAGAAGGAGGAGAGATGGAGGAGGAGGAGGAGGAGAGGAGGAGGGGAGGGGGAGGGGGAGGAGGAGGGGGAGGAGGAACAGGAAAGGAGGAGGAGGGGAGGAGGAGGATGGAGGAGGAGGAGGAGAGAGGAGGAGGAGGAGGGGAGGAGGAGGAGGAGGAGGAGGGAGGAGGAGGAGAAGGAGGAGGAGGAGGAGGGGAGGAGGAGGAGGAAAGAGGAGGAAAAGGACGAGCAGGTAGGAGGAGGAGGAGGGGAGGAGGAGGAGGAGGAGGAGGAGGAGGAGGAGGAGGAGGAGAGGAGGAGGAGGAGGGGGAGGAGGAGGAGGAGAGGGGAGGAGGAGGAGGAGAGGAGGAGGAGGAGGAGGAGGAGGAGGGAGGAGGAGGAGGAGGAGGAGAGGAGGAGGAGGAGGAGGAGGAGGAGACCGAGCGGCAGGAGACCCTGACCAATTCTGCACGGTTCACGGAAGGGGGCCACGGTCGGGGGCCATGATGGGCGCCCGCTTCTGGGGGCCCGGGTTCTCTCGCTGGGCGCTGGAAACGATGCTGGCCAGGGAAGGATAGAAACTTTCGGAGGTACGCGCGGATTTCTTGGATCGGCGCTCTCTGGCGCGCCGATCGCGCCCGAGGGGCATCCAGCTCCGATCCCAGAAATCCGCGCGGACCTCCGAGCACGTTTGCGCATGCTGTGAGGGGGGGGAGGGAGAGGGGAGGGGAGGGGAGGGGGAGGGGAGGGGGGGGGGTGGGGAGGGGAGGGGGGGGGGGGGGAGGGGGGGGGGGGGGGGAGGGGGGGAGGGGGAGGGGAGGGGAGGGGAGGGGGGGGGGCTGGTTCTTCCTGGGAGGGTCCCCGGGCCCGAAGCTGGAGGCCCCCGAGCGACCTCTCGGAGGTGGAGCCTTCCTGGAGCCGCTTGCTCCGCTCGTGCGCCGATGCCGCGTCGCACGCCCGCCGAAGCGAACTGGGCCCGATGCGTGCTGGGAGCTTCCTCCTCCTCCTCCTCCTCCTCCTCCTCCTTCTCCTCCTCCCCCCCTCGACAACATTGGCCTCGAGAGTGGCTGGCGCGTCACTTCGGTGCCGCCCGTGGTCGCCGATTCCAGGTCGCCCCCCCCCCTGCCATGTCAACACGCCTCTCACACGCTTCGTGGCCCCACAGGTTGGAAGTTGGGGAAGGCTGGCAAATCCGTGGCTGTTAAAACGGTCTTCCCGGAAAACAGAAAGCAAATACCCAGAATAAACGGTTGTCCGGTTGTCCGCCCCAGTTGGCCGAGGCAGGCAGCTTTTCAATCTCAATTTTGGACGTACTGGCCTATCCTCGGTTTTAGGCTGGTGCCCACGCCTACAGGAGAGGGCCGGGATGTTACACTCTGCCCTTTGGCACCATGTTAGGGCTTTCTTTGGCGCCTTCCAATCGCACCTGCTTGTGCGTCACAGTCGTGTTGCGCCCCGCTCTCGGCTTCACAGTCGAGTCTCTGTGCGCAGGTGGCCTCTCGACCACGTTCTCCTCATATTCTGGAAGAGTGGCCAACCGTGCACTCTTCTGCCCACGCCTCCTTCTGGATGCTTGGCTCACTTCTCTCTTCTCTCTCAGGACTCAGCGCGCTAAGTAGTAACCGGGCTGTTTCTCGGAAGAAACAAACAATTTCACGGACCTCCGTTTTAGCAGCTACCGGTTTGGGAGCCGTCGCCTGGCTTCTGAACAGGGAGCTCCACCGACGGCCCCAGTGGCAGTGCCTACATGCGTCCCTGCTACCCCTTTCGGCACCCCCCTCGCACACGTTTCGTGGCCCCGTAAGGGGGCTCCACCGAAGGCCCCAGTGGCGGTGCCCACGTGCGTCCTCGCCGCCCATGTCGGCACACCCCTCATGTGCTTCGTGGCCCCACGGGGAGCCACGGAAAAAGCCCCAGTGGCGGTGCCCACGTGCGTCCCCGCCACCCATTCCGGCCCTCCTCCGCACATGTTTCGTGGCCCCCCTAAAGGGGGCTCCACCGAAAGCCCCCGTGGCGGTGCCCACGCGCGTCCGCGCAACCCCTCTCGGCACACCCCTCACACGTTCCGTGGCCCCACAACTGCGTGACTTACAACTGCATACAGCCCGGGCCCTGAAGAAGGAACCCTTTTCGTTGGGGAGGGGCTCCGCGTTCCTGAAGTGTTTCGCAGCTTGCCCCAGGTGTTCCTTATGTATTCGACAGGAAATCGAAGGTTAACGTATGGAAAACAGGGGCCTCGTTCCTTATTTAGGGTTCCTTAGGCCAACGCCCCGACTGTACCTTTCGTCCGAACCGAATGATGCTCGTCGCCTGGCCTTCGGCCCACCGCGCGGGTCTCCTGCGGCCGCTCGGGGCGATCCACGCGCACTTCTGGAAAAGGCTCTCTCGGCGAGCCGCGGCTGCTGGATAAGCACCCCGAGGCTGGAAGCTGCATAGGAATTGGCGAACACGCCAGAAAGCCTGGCGACCTCCCTTTCACCGATCCCCCCCTTCCCAGCCATCCGACGTCTGGACTTGTTCCAGATGGGGCCCCTCGAAGCCCCGGCCACGTCCCCATGGCCAACTCTGCGTCCGGAGTAATGTTTTGACGGTCCCGTGGCCCGGCGAGGGCTCCCCCCAGAGACCGAGGCCGAGGAACCAAGGGCCGCCTTGATCTTTCCAAGGCGCTGGATGTCTGGGTCCGTCCGACCCGATACGACTCCACGCCGCGGGTCCTCCCAAGAGGGGTTCGAGTAGAGGGGTCGGGGGATCGCGCCGCATCGCCGATGCATCGCCGACCTCTCCCGGGGTGCGCTCTGACCAGGATTTCGGGGCGGATCCAGCCGTGGCGACGAAGGCCTCCCAGGAGGCCCAGAGATGCGAAGGCAAGGGAAGGGCAGCGACACAGGCACTTTTTGCAAAAAAATACTACCTACCAGACCACCCCAACCCAACCCGAAGACCCGAATTTCGGGTTGGGGGGGTAAGGGTTCCACATGTGTTTTTCGATGTTTCCCGACCACCCCCCCACGGGAAATCGAGGGTAAATCTGAGCCTTCGGGTTGGGTTGGGGTGGCTTGGTGGGTGGTGAAAAAAGGATCACGGAACAGCACGGGCATACGCTTCTGGAGCGCGGCGCGGATTTCTCGCATCGGCGCTGGGACCCCCCCGTCCCCGGGCGCGCCGAGGGCGCCCCGCGGGGCTGGCGCCGAGAGGCGCCCCTCCACAGGGGGTCCCAGGGCCGATCCGGGGAAGCCATCCGCGCGGGCTCCGAGCATGTATGACTGCCTGCCAGACCACCCCAACCCAACCCAAGACCCCGATTTCGGGTTGGGGGGGGGGGTACGGGTTCCATGTGTGTTGTTTCAATGTTCCCCGACCCCCCCCAACTGGAAATGGAGGGCAAATTATTGCCTTCGGGCTGGGTTGGGGTGGCTTGGTGGGTGGTGAATTTAACATGCGAGCCCTACCCCTACCCCCCACGATTTCGGAGGGGCCTCC